ATGTGTCGTTCAGCAGTAACCAACTATTTTTGAATCCAGAAAAAACCACTTGCAAGATTCCATTCTGTCCATTGAAAAACAGAAGCATTTAGCATTAATGTAAATGGTTTAATAGTTCCCGTTGAAACTCAAGTGAAGCTTCTGTGTCTAAATTTTAAGGACCAGTGTGAGCATCTAAGAGCAGTCTCAAAATGAATCTCTCAAACATATGCAATTCCAAATTAAGAGACAATTCTTTCGGAGAACTAGTTAGTTGCTATTCACTACGCCCTACAGAGTCAAGATTAAGATACGCTTTGTATTTCTGGGATTCGACAGCTAACACTAAGCAGGTCTTTTTGAGTAAAAAAAGAGCAATCACAAACTCCCAAATTGTCGCAACCACAACATTTATTACAACGTTTGAGACCTATTCTATTGTTGCCTCGCTGATGAATCTTTATGCTTTAGTATCCGCCAAATTCAACGGCAGATTCAGATCTGACGTTTCGGCTACATTGTTATTTTGTACTTTAGAAAAGGCCACCGAGGTGGCCGAAACGTCAAGAAATCTTCATTTCTATTTGACGGTTTGTAAGTAATGGATGTTCATCACAACGCTTGTACTAGGGAATGACAAAGATGTTTGAGCATACTTTTTAAGGGACATTCTTTCAATGGACCAAAGCCTAAAGGTGTAGTTCAGTATCCATCATAACGCCCTGATGTGGCAAGGTAACAATTTTTTCACGTTTCAACCAACAGTTTCTCCGAATTATACCTTTTCCAAATTGCTCGTTTCGACAGGAGAAGCTACAGAAGTTCCGAGTTTGTTAAAAGAACACGAATTTTGGGTATTATTCTTGATGGAAGTCCAATTTCGTTCATAAGAAACTGGTCAGCACGAAAAAGGGATTTCTCTTTTCTGCCAACAAATCCGAAAAAGTTTCACGGCGATTCGGCGCTTTGAAAAGGGTAGTTCTTGTGCCCTTTCAGTCAGTTGGAATTTTTTCAATCAACGTCCTAATCCTATTCTTTTGTTTCCAGGCGCTTCGTATACCATCTGGAATAACCAGTGCCGTTGCGTATCACCGTAGTAAGGGGTAAGTTGCTTTCTCTAGTTTGAAAAAATATCACGCGCATATTTCAAAGCTGAAGCAACTTTGATGACTTACAAAATTCTGTTTACAGGTTGGAAAGATACGTTTCAATATCCGACTTTTTAAAGCGTTTATGGTGTATGCTGAGGACCAAATGAAAGACACAGCATTACCACTCTACAGTATATTCAGATAAGAGATAGACCGGATGTAAACAAAAGGTTCGGGTGATTTTCACGCTAACGCCGTCGTCTCGACGTAAAACAGGAGCCCTCATTGGTCAATTCGCAATTAAATGCCTATGCCGAGCGGCAGAGCAGTCGTATCAAGGCAGAGTCACATTCAGGTTCAGACGTGTTACGTATGTCGTGTGCATCATTGCAATTTGATATTTCTTTGGACGTTTTCGTTTGTTATCTTATTAAGTTGTTGAGTTTGTCGTTGTTATTGTTATACCTTCTTATTGATTCTTATTGTTATCAACTGCTTGCGCAAAATGCCCAGTAGTACAGATACTGCCGATGAAGTTGTAAACTCCTGTAGTCCACCTAGGAAACGCTCTAAAAAAAGACACCTGAGTGCAGAAATGAAAGAGGTCATTTTGAATATACGAGTATATAAGATCGAGCGCGAGGAGAACGAGGCATCAACCATCAAAGAAATTGTTGTGAAGGTTTCTCACAAAGTTGGGGTGTGTCGCGCATCAGTGTTTAATGTGTTAAGACAATACAAAAAAAATCACACCTTTTCTGAGCCAATGACCAGTAAACATCGCAAAAGTATTGTTAAATCATTGGATGAAGCTGATAAGTATGCGATTAGGAGGAAAGTGCATGAATTCTTCTTTAGGAATGAAATACCTACTATAGATAAAGTACTGCAGGAGGTAAATGGAGATACAACGTTGCCAAATTTCAAACGATCAACTTTCCATGCGTTACTGAAGCATTTAAATTTCAAATGGAAAAAACGGGGTCGTAATAGTTTACTACTGGATAGAGAAGAAATTGTGCTGTGGAGGAGGGATTATTTAACAAAAATTGGGAAATATAGAAATCAAAACAGGAAGATTTATTACCTTGATGAAACGTGGGTAAACGCAGGACACACTACAAGCAAAGTATGGGTTGATCATTCTGTAACTTCATCCAGGAGGGCCTTTCTAGATGGACTGTCCACCGGATTAAAAAATCCAGCAGGTAAATACGAGTAATAGACAATAATCGGATGTTTTTCAAACCTTGGGAACAAGGTTCTAAACATTAATTCCAGGGGGCAGATAAAACATATTACAAGTAACAAAACTTTTATAACTTTCGATAAAATGCGTGGATGTTTTATTGTCATTTTCATTTGTTAGAACTTTTTTAAGCCATGTTTTTATGTGTTTTCGATATTTCAATAACTTTTTAATATAATCTTAAAATATGCCGAATATTATAAACTTAAAAAAAGTTACTGAGTTTTATATTATGTACCGTTCCTAATATTTCTAATCATTTTAATTCATACTTTAAGCTTTATAAAGTTATAATTTGTTAATATTAATATTTGCGCGTATTTCAGGTTCCTGATCATTCATTTTTTAAAGGTTTATAACTTTAAATTAAATTGTGAAGCGCTGAGTAATCATACGACGTTCAATATTCTTTCTTTCAATATGACTAAATAATCCCAATTATAGCAATCTGATACTCATGTCTCAATGTTTTTTCGCTGAATGTGATGAAAACATTTGAAAAAGGTTCGCTTATTGAAATAAATCTACACCAGTTAGTAATTCGATTTCCAGGTAAAGGGAAAAGGCTCATTATCTGCCATATTGGCAGTGAGGATGGATTTGTTGTTGACGGTCTGTGGTGCTTTGAGTCTAAGAAAACTGGAGATTACCACGAGGAAATGAATGGCGAATCGTTTGAACAGTGGTTTTCAAAAATGTTACCGAACTTAGAGGAAAACGCAGTAATTGTGTTGGATAATGCGCCTTATCATTCTCGAAGAATGGAGAAGGCCCCAACAACGGCTTCAAGGAAAGTTGATGTTCAAAATTGGCTCCGCTCGAAAAATATCAACTTTGAAGAAGCAATGCTGAAAGTACAATTATTAAGAATTGTCAAGGATCACAAGGCGGAATATCAAAAATACGCCATTGACGAAATGGCAGCAAGTCAAAATAAAACTGTGCTCCGTTTACCTCCATACCATTGCGAGCTCAATCCCATTGAGCTCATATGGGCAGAGGTTAAAAATTATATAGCTAAGCACAATACAACTTTTAAATTTTGTGACCTCAAAGGACTTCTCAAAGAAGCACTAGAATTAATAACAGCGCAAAAATGGGAAAACTGTATTAAGCACGTGAAAGACAAAGTTGAAAAGAGAATGTGGGAACTGGACAATATTTTAGAAGAACAAGTCGAGCCATTCCTTATTGACGTTGGTGTTTCAGGCAGTAGCGATGATGAAAGCTCATCAAGCTCATCTTTCCAATAAAAGATGTCATTCATCAAATTCGGTAAGTTATAAGTAATTATAAAGCTACTGTATTTTTTAATTAATTATTGACATTTTTGAACCCATTTTGGCAAAACCTATTCAAGAATCTACTTTCTGACAATGTTCAACCACGCACATTTTTTTACGTTTGGAACGTTTTAATTTGGTTACATATTTACCTAGAAATCAAAAAATATACTAATCAATATTCTAAAAGCAATTTTAAGAGATATACGATTATTTTTAATTTAGGCTAATTTAAACGCCATTTGGGATTATATTCGACTGTATTTCACCAAACTTCAGGCGGCATCCGAAGCTGGAAATCGAAGCGAAAATTTTGAAACCCTTATGTGTATTTACATCATTATATATTTCTTACCCCACCCCACATGATCCTATATCCATCACCAATCGTATACACATCGAATTGTGCTAATTTACTACAAAGTTACGCAAAGCAGCATCTACTATCTAAAATATGTACTGCGTGACTCTTAATACGTCCCTGCCGAATGTTACAGCGTTCGATGATCACGTGGTCTTGTTTATGTCCGGTCTATCTCTTATCTGAATATACTGTACATCTAAATAGTGTAATAGTCGTCTTTTATGTTAATTTTTCACTGCGAATATCGATTGAGTTTTTAACTTTTGCTCCTTATGTCAACATTGGCCAGTCCTTTTAGGCAACTATCGCTAATGATCATGGGATATTAACAATGTTGTTCACTAGCAATGGACAATACCGACAGTGTCCGGATTTCCAGGATACTGTCCAGAAAAAAGTGTTATTGTCTGGCAACTAACATCAGTGCCCAATCGTTGTTTCCCGCAACATACACTTTCAACGTTAAACGGAGATTTAATTGTATTTTCGGCGTATGGGATCGTGAAGTATCCATAACCGCTACCTGATTGCAAATTTGATGTCTCATCAAGAGGGTAGTCATAACTTTAGGCTACATTTTAAATTCAAATTTAAAGATTTGAAGATCTATGTTCTGTAACCCGTTTAAAACAGCGTCACTATGCTCTGCATAAAAGCTGCGTATAACAAGAGCGGTAAATAAAACGAATATACCCCTTGCAGGCAACCATGCAGGTGATATTTGTCAAAGCTTTCCCAAGGTTTTCCTCATCTCCACTTTCTACTTTTCTCATTTTGTCCCGGTCGTTACTTCAACAATTTTTTGTGCGCGTATGTAAGGCATGTTTACCCATGATTTATCACCAGGACATGAAATAAAGGGAGCTCTTATGAAACTTGCGTGCCATATATATCCATAATCGTAATGATATAAGGTGAAGGCTTTTTTTGGTATAACATGACGTGGAACTCGCTAAGTCCTTAACAATGTCATGACATTTTTCTTCGTTTCAATTCTTATTTTAGCAATATCACTATTGTGCAATAACACATCCATGAGTGGTAAGTCAGACCAGTGAGAAAGCATTCAGGTTGAATCAGTGGATGTATAGCTACATGGTTCAGCTTTGCCTAAAATGCAGCCGCTTCAGCATGTCGGAATAACAGAGGTTCAGTGCTAGGGCCCCTCTTGATACTCAATTATTCTTAAGCTTTCAATCTGATTATTCCAAAATGTCTGAGGCTAAGACTAATGTTGACCTCTAAAGTATTAATAACTATGCTGCTATTAATAACATGAAAATCGATCCTCAAAAATGTTGTACAATTTATTAATTTTAAAACGGGAATTATACACTTTATTTATTTATTGAAATAGTTTAATTTAAAATATTGATTTGTGGTATCAAAGATGTAAATTATCCCTTTACTTATTACAAGAGAGAAAAACGGAAACATTTAAAAGCAAGCCTGAAAATAAGCAGCACATATTTAAAATAAAATGATCTATGCAAAAGTTTAGGTCTACTTATAGACGAAGATCTACGTTTCCACACACCATTTCCGCGAAAAATGTATCAAGATTTCTTATTTTGTTACTGGTAAACCGATTTATATGAGCCATACCTCATTAGAAAGCTAAGGAAATTGTCTTTAAAAAATTGTACCTGAAATTGACAAATCTCAAAAGATAGCAGCACTATACAGGGCGTCCCGAGAAGGTCGTTGCAAAATTTTAGCACATATTCCTGAGCTCAAAATAAGCCGATTTGAAGTAGCTTACCTGACTAAACCAAGGACTCAAAATTGCTCCGATTCCGGATACAGGGTGGTAAAGTAAGGAAATAAAAATTCTTTCTTTTTTGATTCATGGAAATTTCTTAACATATTACTTAAAAAATTGGTGTCCAGGTGTTTTTTGGTATGCAAAACCCGAATATGGACATTTTTTCATTGTGGTCGTCAGAGGGCGCTTCACACTGCACTTTGGATTATGTTGAAGGGCCATAACTTTCTCTCAGTGTGGTTCTTTACCTTTTTGATAAAAAAAAATTCTCGATATTTTTAAGCAAAAGAGGCACTACTGTTAATATAGGGTACTGTAGGTAGTTTTCGAGGAATTCGCAAATTTCTCCATCAATGGAGGTTGTGGGTACCCTAAATCAAAATGCTCAGAACTTTACAAAAACTGAATATGTGATAGATTCCGTCAAAATGAACAGACTTTTTCCTATAATAAAGATGTGAATCAAATTTAGTAAAAATAGCTGTAGTCCTTAAAAAACTTATGACGAAGAAACGATATTTTTTTAAAACATTTAAGACCCTGTATCTCGAGAATTAATCATTTTTCACTGCGACTTTATAGACAAAAATTGTTTAATTTCTATGCAGCATCTAGACGGCGCTATGTACGCTATGAAAATAATATGGATAAAATTAATGTATTAAAAAAAGCATCACAAGATAAGGTTTAAATGCATTGTAATGTTTTCAGAAACAGCCTAAGATTAATTTTTACAAATCAAATCCTAACCTATGAAAAGTGAAAATGAACAGTAAATAAACGTTTAAAGTGTAACTAATTAAATAAAAATCATTTGCTTACTAAGACTCTGAAAATTCTTTACTGGCCTTCCAAAAGTTCTTGTTGATTCTTGCTCTGAAGTAACAACGGTTTTCTTGGAAGGCGAAAATTCTTGGTTCAATCAAGCCTCATTTTTCTCTATAAAAAACTTCTTATCTCTATGACAAGGTTTCCATCTAATTTCCACATTTTTTTATAAAATTCGTCATATGTCTGTCTAATATTTCTACATTAATGTTTTTGTGGCGTAAAAAATAAAACTTAAGAGATGAACTCTGTTTTTGGTCTGTTCAAATACAACTCGTTCAATAAGTCTATATTTTCATTTTGGTTGGTTTCGCACTAAACTCTAAAAACTTGTCTGCAAAAGTTGCAAATATTTGCAGCTAGTTTTTTCTTTACGTGTTGAGGTGTCTCAGACGCACGTTTTAAACTTGTTTTTAACACATGGAAATAACTGCACCTTTTTATCGGATTCCATTATTGTCAAACTTGTGAAAAAAAAATTGCACGGATTTATTAAAAAGTTCAGTTGTTTTCCCAAACGCCAACTATATTGGGCTTAATAGGTCAGAGCCTTCTGTGATTATAGTTAGGTCATAGGTCACGCCTAAATTTCAACAAGATTTGTGATGAAAATTACAAAAAAATATTTGTTTATTTTGAAGTTAAATAAATGAGGGATGAAATAATGTAGGTAAGAAAAAAGAAAATGTTGCAAATAGGTAATTTTGGGTTCAAAAAAATATTTTAACAGAAGAGGTACAGAGAAAATGACCTAACTATGGGGCCGCGTGGGTCAGAGTGTCGTGTTACTGATCAGCCGGCCGGCCGGGCCGCGAGTTCGAATCTCGCCTTCGCCATGGATGTTGTGTGTTTGTTTTAGGCAGCAGCGGTGGCCGCAGTAGTAGACTCTTCGGTCTCCTGATCAGCCGCCGTGCGCTGTGCGGGTTCGAGTCCCGTCCCAGGAGAAATGTTTCTCTTGGCCATGGATGTTGTGATTGTCCGTAGGTGGTAGATGGTCTCTGACTGTCGAACGCGGAGGTACCACCCGGCGGTTCTCGTAGGCGGAGCCAGAATGTGTGCATGTTGCATGCACACGTGTTCCCTCGCCAGAGTCCGTGTGGCGTCCCCCCTTTCCCATGTATCCCCCATAGCCCCACGGTACCCAATGGGTGCTTAGGCCTTAGGCCTTCGTGGTAGTTGGAGTATAAAAAAAAAAATCTTAATACTTGGTTACTATTTTCGCAGAAATGGTGCCTTCTGAACCACTGTGCGCATGCTAACAGCGTCATCAAAACATGCTATTTTAGCATTAAACTATTGTATACCTACAGGAACTTGCTCAGTTTTGAAACAAAAAAGCTATTATGTGAATCAATAATTATTTCCAAAATTTAACATGGAATTATGAGGTATTAACCTTGCTTATATCAAATGTTTGCCTGACCATTAATCTGTGGAAACATGGTCATGTAACTGGAAAATCAAGCATCTAGGACGGCTTAAAATTGCAAAGCTGCACAAGTACCTATTTATTTTTATCATTCATAGAATCGAATATAACCGCTGCGATTATGGAACAAGCTAACATTTATAACGGGTATTTACAATTTAAGTATAAGATATATGAGCACATTATCGATACCAAGGCATCACACAGACATGTTCCACTGTTCTTACTCATATAACGCCGCAAATTATTAGAACTTCATCATATAATCATAAATTTGAGTCATCATTAAAACAAAATATTCTAAACACACAGTATTTGGTTTGTTCGAGATTTTTGGGCTTAATACACTGCCTAGTTTACAAGTTCTGTATTTTTCCCAGAGCACGTACATAAGCACTCAATTTACAAAGTAAACCAAGTCGGCCACAACACACGGTAACTCGGAAAATTTTATGTACACTAACGCAAACATTTTAGAAGGATTTAATACATTATCGCACTTAATTGTGACTTTTTTATACAAGGTGTAAGCGTTATGGTAGTCGTTATTGGAATGGGTAATAAATGGCACTAAGTTTTACCAAGTTAAGCCAAAATTTGTAGTCAGTAAGTAAGTTTCATTAAACTAAATATTTAAAACACACATAACAACAGCGCGTCGGTATTTCATCACTCTTATCGAACCGGCAATCGATCGCAACTTCATCTTTTTGTCGAGCAGAGCAAACTTCAAACGAAAAAATTTTTAATGCGGCTGAAATAATAAATGGACAACTTCGAGGACCTAGAGTAAGAAGAAACTGGGTTCGTCGTAATGAAGCTTGTGTGGAAAGTGGAGGACGACATTTTGAACACCTTCTTTAAATCCAAAAAGTGCATTGTGGGATTTAAAACGAAAAACGATGTATGTATCAAAATTGTGTTCCCTATTTATAAGTAGATTTTTTTAATACGATCAGTAAACTTTCACACACCAGGTGAAGCGAAGTGGTAAGTCCGTTTTTTTAATTGTATGCATTTTACGAGTACATTATCAAATAATGAAGTAATACCTAAGAGCCAAAAATAACAAACTTCATCTTTATTTTCACTGCGTTCCGTCGTAATTTGCGTCTGGCATTGCGGCGTTGTCAGATTTTGTTTTACTTTAAAGAAATGCCGTTTTGGCCCTCATGTTGTATGAAACTCTTTGCTTATTTTAATCCCTCCTGTCACCCATTTAAATAATGACTATCATAATGTTTACACCCTGTATACTTACAAATGTTAATTGAGTAGATTGGCCAATGGCTAGACTGTGCAATTTGTATCATTCTTTTTAATGTTATCCTGTAATGCTAATGGACATAAGGACGATTTTCCTCAAGGAACACTTAACAAATTAACAGACTGTATGAATCTGACGTCGGTGCCGTGTTGACGTTTTTCTAACAGTATGATTTGTCTCCCCACCATTGAATCTCCAGCTACACGTCTACTGAAATCGCGAAAAGCTCCTTTCGAATAATTCTCCAGCACCAAAGGCTACTTTAACATCAAGCGTGATGTATTGTTTTCTTTTGTGATTGAACGGATGCTGTGCTGGAACTTTTCTAAGCAGGCCTGCCGCTATCCTAACATCTAGCCGATCGATTGAACCGCAGACCTTCATTAAAATAAATTACCAAGGTAAATCGACAAAGGGTAAAAGATGACTTTCCGCTCGAGAATTTCTGATTTATGCCGAAGAAAAGTTTTCCGGCACGTGTTCTTATTTCGAAGAAACCTTTTCGGCTTCAGGGACAGCTTTCGGGACTATCGAAATCAAGGGCGTAGTAAGAAAGGAGTGCTGTTTGCAGATCTTGGCGTAGCTGTGCTAAATTCTGAAAGCTGTATTTTGACTACGTCATCTGTCATGCACTTCACAGCATCGATATCAAAACTATGTCGAATTCAGAATGTGTGCCAAAAATATTAATAACGAATGAAATGTTCCGCAACCGAACTTACCTACATACAGCACCGCTGGTTGCCTATAGCTAGACCCCAGAGAACCAACTTTACGGGAGTAACGATGTTTCATGAGGAAATTTCTGGTATAAATCGAGTAAGTAATTGATAAAATATACTAAGTGACATATAAATCCGAACACCCAGTTTAAATGGTTTTATTTTAATAAAAGTTGGTCAATGTATTTATCTTACTGTAAACAACAAGTGAAAAAACTTTCAGCCTTATCAGTTGGACATTCCGGTTTTTATACTGTTTTTTTTTAAAATCACTAACGCTCTAAAAATGAATATTTCAGCCGCAGTAAAGAATGAACGTTGGCGGATTTTGGTTCTTGACATCCTTTACGATCGGTTACGATGCCTAGAGTACGGAGACCTGTACGATTTCGTCAACTTAGTGAGTTTGATAGGGGCCGTATAGTGGGACTTCGGGAAGCTGGACTTTCTTTTCGGGCAATTGCAGTTAGAGTGCGAAGAAGTGTAGATACTGTGGTTAGGTGTTGTCAGGCATGGCTTCGAGAAGGCCGTACGCAAAGATCAAGGGGCACTGGACGCCGCCGTAGAACAACAGACCGTGAAGATCGCCGCCTAGGATTATTGGCCTTAAGGGACCGTTTCTCCACTACCAGGTCCATTGCAAATGAATGGTTTGCAGAACACGGAAGACCTATTGGCATGCGAAGTGTTTACCGACGAATGAGAAGTTTTGGCTTGTTTTTATACCGGCTACACTGGGTCCTCCCTTTAACTCGAGAACACCGACGTAATCGCCTTGAGTGGTGCAGACAACTGTCACTCTGGGATCAGGAATGGAACAGTATTGTCTTTAGTGACGAGTCTCGATTTTGTTTAGGCATGCACGATGGTCGTGCCAGGGTTAGAAAGCGACGTGGTTAAAGGAGGAATCCACAGTTTTTTGTTGAAAGACATGTTCATCACACTGTTGGAGTTATGGTTTGGGGTGCTATAGCTTATGGTTCCAGATCACCTTTAATCTTCATCAGAGGTAACATGAACGCGCAGCGTTATATCCACAAAGTTATAGAACCCCATCTTTTACCCTATCTTGACACCCTGGCAGATCCAACTTTCCAACAGGATAATGCCCGACCACATGTTGCAAGAGTCACAATAGACTTCTTTCAACATAATGATGTCACATTGTTACCATGGTCACCAAAATCTCCCGACTTATCCCCAATTGAGCACGTGTGGGATATGATGGGTAGGAGATTGCTCAATTTGCAATGTCCTCCTCAGACTCTAGAAGCACTTCGAGAGGAGTTGGTGGTTGCCTGGAATGAGATACCATAGGAGGACATTGACCACCTGATCAGAAGCATGCCTAGGCACGTTGGAGAATGCGTAGCACATTAGGGTGCATCCACACATTATTAAAGGTCAAAGGGCTTTAAAGCAGTGCAATCATTTTGAAATTTTTATCATTTACTTATTATGCTTCGTACTTATACAAAATTTTATTAAAATAAAACCATTTAAACTGGGTGTTCGGATTTATATGTCACTTAGTATATTATAACACTAATATCCAAAGGATTTCAGCACAATATTGAGCCGCTACGAAAGATATAATATACAGGGTGTTTGGAATGTCGATACAAAGTCTTGGGAAGGTGATAGAATCTTTTAAGCCAAAAATACCTTAGTTCAAAGTCGCGAGTTATTCGAGATTTTTGATTTTTATTGAAAAAAATATCCCTTTTGTTCCTGTTATCACTGAAAGAACATGAGGCTATCTGAAATAGTTTTTAAATATCTGATAGTGTGGTTTTTTTCTCCGAAAGTAGAGAAAAGAGAAACAAAATGACTGTAAACAAATGATAAATACATGTTTTCCTATTTCTGTGATACTGATAAGAAGGAACGTGTTTGCGTGCATGATAAAACTGAATTCTACACATTCTTGCTTTACTTCTTTTCAAACAAAGCAATAGTAATTAATGAATTTTAGTCCAAAAACCCTAGGAGAAGACTGCCTAATTTCAGAGTGTTTTACAATACTTACCAACGTCTTTACGAGACTGGACGTGTAACACGTAATGAACCTGGTGTTAATTCAGGTCGCTATCCTCCTGAAGCCGAAGGTCTAATCCTCCAAGCGTTCGACGATGATCCCACTACAAGTACCAGGAAAGCTGCTGCTGATCTTGGTTTGTCACTATGGAAAGTTTGGAGTATCATGCACCGTGAACGAAGATATCCTTTTCATGGTATGGGCATACAAGGACTTGAAGGTGGTCCTCTTCACAGAAGCCAATTTTGTCAATTTCTCTTATGCTCGTATAGTGACATTGAGAATGAACGGTTCCTGGACAGACGAATCCAATTTTTCAAAGGAGGACGTTACCAATTTTCACAATTTGCATCAATGGGCTGATAAGCAGGAAAATCCACACTGGAAAAGCTGGTGTCTTTTCAGTACAAATTTTCCGTGAATGTATGGGCCGCCGTCATGGGACAAAGATTAATCGGTCCTCAGTTTTTGCCTGAAATATCCAACGGCGACAGTTATCTACACTTTTTGCAAAATGATCTTCCCGAATTGCTAGTAAGGGTAGAAGTTCCAGATTACATGCAAATTGTTTTCCCACGCGATGGATGTCCAGCTCATTTCCGTTTACACATAAGACAACATCTGAACGAAACTTATTCAAATAGCTCTATAGGCAGAGGTGGACCAATTCCGTGGCCTGCTAGATCCCAGGACTTGACGCCATCGGATTTCTCTCTGGGGCGGACTAAATAGTTTGTTTACACTGAAGAAATTGTATAAAGAAACCATTTAATAAGAAAAATTCTAGAAGCTTTCATTTAGTGCAGCAAGAAGGTGTATTAAATACAAAAACTACCGAAGTAACACGTAGAGCTCAAGCATGAATTGGAAACAATGTTGCTCACAGTAAAGCATGTTGTAATAGTTTATTTTGTTTCGTTTACTAATTTATGATTTAAATCTAAAAATTCGAATATCTCGAAAACCGTAAGACTTTGTACTGAGGTATGCTTGGCTTAAAATACTCTAAGTGGTCTGCCCTACCGACCTTAAAAACATCCCGTATATGTGAAATTATACTTCCAGGATTAGGTAGTTTCAAGCTCAATAGATCAATAGATTATGAAATTTTCCAGAAGAAAATCACCAAAAACTGTTTGGCCTAGGAACCAGTACTCTATCAATAATGAAGATAAATTCAAATTACTGGTAGAAAAGGAGATGTTGGCACGTTACAGGTACTGGAGCAATTTAGTACCCGTTCTTTTATTTGAAGCTAGTGCCCTACATACGAGGGTAGTTTGAATAGTTTCCGTGAAGAACTCATAAGTAAAAGCTAGTGAATTTCGTTGCTCATCTGTTGACAGTTAGTCACAAAAGCTTCATCCATTTTGGCCGCGCAGTTGTTTGAGTGAATTGATGTGAAAGTTTTTGTGAAAATGGACAAAATCGAATATCGAGCCGTCATTAAATATTTGTTTTTGAAGGTCAACACGCTACGCAAATCAAAGGTTATTTGGATTGTGTATATAAGGACTATGTACCATCATATTATGAAATTAAGAATCGTGATGGAACAATATTAACAGATAAACGACAAATATCCGATGCATTCTTAAATTTTCTCACTAATGGAGAAAATTTAGCATCCAGTATTAAAAAAATGGTTTCGAACGAAAAGTTCACAAAAACCCAACTTCCCAATTCATTCTTTTTAGAAAGCGTTAGTCCGATTGAAGTACAAGAAGCTGTCCTATCACTTAAAACCAAAAAAAGTCCTGGTGTAGATGGTATCAAAGCTGACGATTTAAAAATAATAGCCTACGATTTAGCCGAACCACTTTCTTACGTTATTAATTGGTGTTTCCAATCTGGAATTTGTCCTGATGCATTTAAAACAACTGTTATTACTCCTGTTTATAAAAGCGGTGACAGAATGGAAACATCAAATTATAGACCCATATCAGTACTATCGAATATAGCCAAAATTTTCGATAAATTACTACAAAAAAGGATATTACAATTTTTGGACATAAACAAAATTATATGTTCTGACCAATATGGATTTAGAAAAGGAAAATCTACTACAGATGCAATTTTGGCTGCAATGGATGAAATTAACTCTAATGTCAACAAAAAGATACCTACTATTGATATCTTTGTTGATCTAAAAAATGCCTTTGATACGGTTAACCATGTCGAGCTTCTGAAAGTTATGGAAAGATTGGGATTTAGGGGAGCGTCACAAATCCTTTTAAAAAATTACTTTTCAAGTCGGGCACAGACTGTCAAAATCACTAACACTTACAGTAAAATAATGCACATCAAGTGTGATGTGCCTCAAGGAACAGTACTAGGCCCACTATTATTTAGTCTCTACTTAAATAACTTATTCAAAATTAGCAGTTCTGGAAAGATTATATGTTTTGCAGATGACACCCTCGTATTATATAAAGCTGATGACTGGAGCACACTGAAGCAAATAGCTGAACAGGATTTTATAAGGATTATTAACTAGTTTGATACTAAAATTTTAGCAGTTAACTTCAAAAAAACAAAATTTATTGCATTTACATCCTATTCAAAATTTTTACCTACCTTCGAATAAATTTCCGTTAATTATCATGGCCAAAAGACCAAAATCGATAGAGTTAACACTTTGAAATATCTTGGAATATTTATAGACTCACATCTAAGGTGGGATAACCATATTAAATGTGTTATCAAAAAAATTAGAAATGTTGCCTATAAACTTAAAATGCTTGCTAACATTCTTACAGAAAGTTATCTGCGAATCCTATACCATGCCTTAGTTGAAACCCATATAATATACGGCATCACAGCCTGGGGTGCCGCCTGCAAGACATATATTTCTGACCTGAATATAGCACAAAAAACTGTTTTGAAAGCCATTTTCCATAAGCCAAGATTATATCCAACGAACAACTTATATCAAGAAACAGGGATACTTGATACAAGACAACTTTATTTCTTACATGCCACCACCTTATACCATAAGTATTGTAATAAAAAGAAAAAATCCTATAAACACGAGCATAACACACGATTTCGAATAGGCTCATCTAATATCCAAAGACCGCACAAAACATTATTCAAAAAATCATTTAAATTCTTAGCAGCTAAATTATACAGTGTAGTACCAAACGAAATAAAGATACTTAATTTTGGAAAAAAATTTAGAAGAAAATTGAAAGACTGGGTTAGTAATGTGCAGCGAATGACTATACATAATTATATAGAAAACTAAAACTACAAAATTCCAATTACATTAATACCTTTTAGATTTAACAATAATTGTTATACACATATATATGATTGATTGTTAGTTATTAAGATATAAACCACACACAGGCGATGCCTTCTGTGGTTTTTTCATATTTATTTGCCCATTTTTTTTTATCGAATAAATATTATTATTATTATTATTTACCACAGTGAAATTTTGGGTAACTGATTTTAAACCTGACCGTGAGAGCTTGGGAGACGATGAACGTTCGGGACGTCCAAGAACTGCATCTACCGATGAAAACATCGCCACAGTTCACCAAATGGTTCTAGGTGACTGCCAAATTAAATAGAGAGATGGCAGAGATTGTGAACATGTCAAAAGAACGTGTTTGTTACATCCTAAATTAACATCTGGACATGAGAAAGCTGTCCGCGCGTTGGGTGCCGCGTTTGCTCACGTTAGACCAAAAACGTGTTGAACTGAACATTGCCAACGCTCTGTTGGCACAGTTTAGGCCGATTAATCACTGTAGATGAAACTTGGGTACACCATGATACCCTGAAACATAAATACAGTCCATACAGTGGACTGCAAGGAGGGAACTGGCTCCAAATAAAGGAAAAACTGTTTTTTCGGCTGAGAAAGCGTTGGCTATTGTTGTTTGGGATAGTCATGGCGTTATTTTAATCGGTTATCTTCAAAAAGGGAAGTCCGCTACAGGAGCATACTACGCATCATTACTTGATAAGTTGAAGACAGAACTTGTGGAAAAACAGCCACATTTGCAGAAAAATGAAATCCTGTTTCATCAAGACCACGCACCGTCTCACAGCTCAGCGGTTGCCATGGTGAAAATCCACTAATTACGGTTTTAACTGCCTCACCATCCACCATACTCACCAGATCTAGCCGCAAGCGACTAACGTCGAGTACTATTTGGACAGATTACAGAGCCAGGAACATCACTGGGAGAAGTGTGTAAGAGTTACAAGGAGACTGTGTTGAAGAATAAAAAAAAAGTTTGAGAAAGAATGTCTCGTACCTTTGTTAGGTCGAAAACTTTTCAGGTCACCCCCGTATATAACGACGCATCTGAAAGATACCTAACAAACCACCCGAGAATATGCTATATCATAACGAACCCGGCGAAATCTTTCGTATTCAGACCCTGTACACCAGATCCTGTAAAAGGATCCTCGAGTGCACACTTTTAACAAGAAACTGCTCCAGCACTCATCCTCATAGTCCACTCTGGAGCCGCCGTCCTACTTTTTCGTTTTGCCAGCCGCCGGCGGTCATATAACGTTTTGAAAATATTATGCAAATGAGCTTCGTTCCGTGCGCCGTAATGCTGGTAACCGAACACTGAATACCACCCGACATTGTTGTACATTACTGCGCGTACATTTCATCCAAACTTTGCAGGAGGACGCGCTCACTTTTTAATTAATATTTGATATCTAGGATAAACGTCGCATTAAAACTGTTTATTAATGTCAGCTGGAATCACCGATTATTTCTCCTGCTTTGAACAAGCCACAGCATGTAACCCCATTAGCTGGTAAGAGGCTGAACAGTCAGTAAGTGCTAATGTGAGAATCGGCAGATATACAACCATAGGCCTCGCAACACTTACTGAGATTTATAAGGTTGGGGGTGACATGACTGTATCATATCGTCGGCTAAATACGTTAAACTGATAACTCCATTTTGTGAAACTTACCGGAGAAACAAAAAAACGATATTACAACAATGGTGTGCATTTAAACAAGCTGCTAGTAAAGAAGAATATTTTTGTTGACATTTTGAATGTCAACAAGAAATAGATGTTGAAAAAATTACTTTATCTTGTGGACAACAAACGGAGTTGTCAGTTGTTCATTTGAATAAAAAGGAAAGGATTTTGGAGTTAGCAACTTTTATTAGAACATTTGTTTTAGTGTATACAAAATGATCAAAACGTCTAGACAACAAAAACATGTAAAAATTCACAGGTGTGGCAAATTATTATAAAAATGGTGATAGTCCGGTGGAATCGTACACTCAATTTCTTGAAGATCGGAAAATTTTCGCGCAGATATTGGAATTGTTAGATAGATAGATAGATAGATAGATAGTTTATTGTCCTATTAGATCATGTTACATGATATAAGAATTGTCAATATCAATTTGAAGGTCATATATGCGTTTGAGCAAATATGCCAGAAAAATACTTATAATTATAAAATAAATAAGGACATTCCAATTACAAAAAATTTTAAAAGGTTAAATCACACTATAGGTACAGCGCAAGAATCGTAATGTGTTCAATCTGTAACGGTAAAAATATATACATATACAACGACTTTTTTTTATCACAAAAAATGTTCGTCTAGCTGGTAAAAATCATTGAAGCTGATACAAAGAAAAGCGCTAGGAGAATATGTTAGAAATGCATAATATATAAACATCGAGCAGTGAGGACAAATGGTTAAAAGCTTAAAAAGAAAACATACATACTTTCGTTAAAACTCGAACAAAAAGTGAAATTAAAATACATTTACTCCACGATAATAGACAATTCACTGATAACGAAATGATTAACAGCTTAAAAGAATTTAAAAAACAGATACTTTCATGTGTTAGTAAAACTCATGTACAGAGTAAAAGCATTTTTCAACCAGATATTGCCTAAGATGTTTTTTCAGCGCCAGGATATTAGTGCTTCTCCGCAACCCACTCGGCACATTTTGTATACCTTAGTGCACGCTAGAGTGGGAGATTTTTCGAATAGGGCAGAGTTATGTGTCGGTATACTCAGATCATGCCCTGTTCTAGTGTTGTATTGACTAATAATGGCGTTGTTATGAACAAATCTATTGCTATGTTCAAATGCCAAGATGGCACATTTGTAGATATAGATGGAAGTGAATGTAAGCAGATTATAGCGTCTAAATATTTCTTTGCAAGAGTCCCTCTTATTAATATTAAAGAATTATCGAAGTACTCTTTTCTGCAGGATGAATAATCTGTTAATCATTGTTGCCTGTCCCCATATGATTATATTGTTAGTGAGGTGAGAATAAATTAGCGCGTAATACATATCTAAGAGTGAGTTTAGATGGATGTTAGGCTTTAATTTCAATATTGCAAAATAAGCACTGCTAATTTTGTTGCAAATGTGATTTATTTGTGGTTGCCAGCTTAACTTACTATCAACATGAGTTCCTAAGAAGACAGTTTGATCTGAAAAGCTATCAATATCCATGCGTGGTTTCTTGTTGAAGAAACGAATTTCACTTTTGACTTTCTCAATAGATTCGAGAAGATCCTGCGGTGTCGTGGCACTGACGACGATAGATGTGTCATCCGCATAATTAATCATGAATCCAAACAATTTCAAGTCATTTATGTATACAATGAAGAGCAGTGGTGCAAGTACTGAGCCTTGCGCCGCACCTATATTCACGGAATATCGAGTTTATCGTATGACCATTGACCTTCGTTTTCAATTTTCTATCTGTGAGGAAAGACTGGATCCAGCTGAGAATAAAATCCCTTATACCTAAGCAGTACAATTTTTCCACGATAAACGAAATATCCATTATATCGAATGCTTTCGAAAGGTCAAAAAATAGTCCAGCAACGTATCTGTTTTCATCTACTTCTCTATATATATGGGAAAGAAAGTCAAAGCTCGCCGTTTCTATAGATCGTGAGGGTCTAAACCCATGCTGGGTATCTGATAAGACATTGTAGCGATTGAGAAAACATAATATACGTTTATACAAACATTTTTCAATGACTTTAGAGATCATCGGTAAAAGTGATATTGGTCTGTAGTTTTCAAGGTCTGTACGGTCACCCTTTTTGTATACGGGAATAACAATAGCTAGTTTCAAGCATTTCGGGAATTTACCTTGCTTCACTGATTTATTAATAAGGACTGATAGAGGGGAAGATATCTTCATACATGTCCAACTCTGTCCAGGCAATAATGTCAACTTGAGATTTTCTTCGCGGAAGTAATGCCCATTCATCAGAAAACCGAAGTTTATAATAGATGTCCCCTGCTGGTGTATATTTTAGGCCCCGAATAGCAGTTACCTAAAAATAAAAATTAAACAATTAAATATACCAAGCAGTCTTATAATTTCAATGTTTTTATTACTTTTGGTTCTCCTAGCTGTTTCCCTTGAATACTTCTAACAGTTTCCAAATTTTTGAATGATCCGTTCTATGATGGCATGGATGGAATCTACTTGCATTTGAGTATGTCCAACCTCTAAATATTTATGCTCCAGTGTAATATCGTATTTTCTGTCACGTTTCTCTTCTGGTACGTACAACCATCACTCCACATTATTATATTTCTGTCATCTTTGACCATTGTTGGAATGACTTTTGTTTCCAAAAATGAGTAGAAGCATAAGAAAAATTCTTCTGCGGTTTGTCCACCCTCTCCCTCATGCCATAAGAAACAATACCCATCTTTGTTGAGCATATTATAAAAGCAAAGGTTGTGAACGCATAATTTTGTTTTGTAATATAAGCTGCTAACACTAGATTTTGGAGACAAAACAGCTTGAGGATCAACAGTATATACTAAGTGACATATAAATCCGAACACCCAGTTTAAATGGTTTTACTTTAATAAAAGTTGGTGAATGTATTTATCTTACTGTAAATAACAAGTGAAAAAATTTTCAGCCTTATCTGTTGGACATTCCGGTTTTTATACTGCTTTTTCTTAATTCACTAACGCTCTAAAAATGAATATTTCAGCCGCAGTAACGAATCAACGTTGGCGGATTTTGGTTCTTGACATCCTTTACGATCGGTTACGATGCCTAGAGTACGGAGACCTGTACGATTTCGTCAACTTAGTGAGTTTGATAGGGGCCGTATAGTGGGACTTTCTTTTCGGGCAGTTGCAGTTAGAGTGCAAAGAAGTGTAGACACTGTGGTTAGGTGTTGTCAGGCATGGCTTCGAGAAGGCCGTACGCAAAGAGCAAGGGGCACTGGACGCCGCCGTAGAACAACAGACCGTGAAGATCGCCGCCTAAGATTATTGGCGAATGAGAAGTTTTGGCTTGTTTTCATACCGGCCACTCTGGGTCCTCCCTTTAACTCGAGAACACCGACGTAATCGCCTTGAGTGGTGCAGACAACGGTCACTCTGGGATCAGGAATGGAACAGTATTGTCTTTAGTGACGAGTCTCGATTTTGTTTAGTCATGCACGATGGTCGTGCCAGGGTTAGAAGGCGACGTGGTGAAAGGAGGAATCCACAGTTTTTTGTTGAAAGACATGTTCATCACACTGTTGGAGTTATGGTTTGGAGTGCTATAGCTTATGGTTCCAGGTCACCCTTAATCTTCATCAGAGGTAACATGAACGCGCAGCGTTATATCCACGAAGTTCTAGAACCCCATCTTTTACCCTATCTTGACACCCTGGCAGATCCAACTTTCCAACAAGATAATGCCCGACCACATGTTGCAAGAGTCACAATAGACTTCTTTCAACATAATGATGTCACATTGTTACCATGGCCACCAAGATCTCCCGACTTATCCCCAATTGAGCACGTGTGGGATATGATGGGTAGGAGATTGCTCAATTTGCAACGTCCTCCTCAGACTCTAGAAGCACTTCCAGAGGAGTTGGTGGTTGCTCGAATGAGATACCACAGGAGGACATTGACCACGTGATCAGAAGCATGCCTAGGCGCGTTGGAGAATGCGTAGCACATCAGGGTGCATCCACACATTATTAAAGGTCAAGGGGCTTTAAAGCAGTGCAATCATTTTGAAATTTTTATCATTTACTTATTATGCTTCATTAAGTACTTATACAAAATTTTATTAAAATAGAACCATTTAAACTATGTGTTCGGATTTATATGTCACTTAGTTTATATGCATTTCTCGTTTTCCACATCCTTTTCTTTTTCTGCTCTGGCCTCCTTTATGTTTAATATATGAGCGTTATAGTATTCTTCACCTATGAAACCATTTTTGTATTTTTCACAGATTCCACATTCATCTTTTTTAGGTCTGAACAGTGACATATTCTTAGATTTGTATGCCTTGTTGAAACTTGTAATTGATAATGATTTTATATTCTTTCTTAAAATCTATACAATTCCTCTATTGAAGTCCATTCTGGTAGCAGGTAGTTTTTAGAGGAAGATGACCTGCAGTTATGAGGTTCCATCAAGAAATTCGGAATACGTTTTCCCCTTTCACGCTGAATTTTATTTCTTTCTCCGTACCAATACAGCTTTTTGAACTTGAAACCTTTTTTTCGCTTATTGCTTTTTGTAGGCGTTTCACCGCTATCAGAACTTACTCTACTAGTTTCGGGGGAGTGTAGTCGCGATCACTTGAAGTTGCTGATATTTCAAGGGACGGCGTATTTTCCAAGGCACTCTTCGTCAGTGGGATCACATAATCATAATTTTCTAGCAGAAACAAAGAAAGGTCATCTGTTTGGGCCGTTTCGATGGTGTCGATCAAAACATTTTCAGCTATGCCATAACGATGTATTGATACTGGATTAATGTTTTCCTTGTTGGATTTTTTCGTGGCAGCAGCCGTCGCATCAGCAGCTAACATCATACCATATAAGTGAACGTGTTTATTTCGTCTCTGCTCGCTTCATGTTCCTGTAGAAAAACTAGAGGTATATTTGAGGTGCTGATTGTACCTGCCCTTTCTGCAGCGCTGCAGGTAAAATCCGTGTTTGTTTCAAGTAATTTCGTAATACGTAGCTTCAGTAATGCTACACGTTTGAGATGGTGAATTGCATTTATTGTAACACTGTGTCTCGTACAAAACCTGCTGTTCTTTGCGAGGCATGTAAAAAAATGCTCATGCCAGCTGTATTTCCAATTCCATTGATATACTGAGTGTCTTAAAAAATGTCCCAGGTCTATCATGGAAATGTGATGAATGTAGAGGCAACTGCCTGTTTATTAACGAAAAGAGCGTCAATACAGTGCTGTCGAAAAAAATTGATGCTTCACTTGGGCAAATCAAAAATGAAGTTCCTGCCATAAAGGATGAGCTGCTGAACCATGCTGTCAAGGAGACTAACCCTCCAGCTGATCCTCCTCGTTATTCTGATGTACTGCGCAACAGAACTCAACCAGCCATTGTTATTCGTCCGAAAAATACAAATCAGTCAGTAACTCAAACCAAGACGGACATTCTAAAGTCAGTTGATCCTGTTGAAGCCAACATCCATCTGGGTAAAGTTTGTGATATCAAGGAAGGTGGGATAGTGCTTGGTTGTAAGAGCAAAGCGGATAACTTAAAACTGCTTTCCATTGCAAAAGAAAAGTTAGGTGATTCATACGTCATCAAAGAAGTTGCTGGCATTAATCCTAGGGTACGAATAGTTGGATTGTCTGGCGAATACTCCGATGAGCAGATACGTAGCTACCTTCTGAAGGGTAATCCTGACGTGTTTTGTGGTGATGTTGAGTGTAAAGTTTTGAAAACATATGCTGTTAAAAAAAATAGAATCTTCCAATCTGTCTTACAAATAGATAGAGTTTCCTATGTTAGAGTCATGAAGGGTACTTATTAGTCGGTTATGACTGCTTTAAGGTTTTTGATGCCGTGGAGGTATTTCGTTGCTTTAAATGCAGCAGCAGTGTTCTAATTGTGTCAAATTAAATTCTAAGTCGAATCCGAATGTTCCAATAAATCATGCAGCTTGGGACAAAAATCAGTGCACTGCCTTCACGAATGCTACAGAAAAACTGAGAAGAGACTTACTCGCTGTCAAATAGCAACTAGCTACTGCCTCAGGCCTAGACAGTCATGATCATGATGCTGATAGAGATAAAGACTTTATTATTTATTATCAAAATACTCGTGGTTTGCGTTCTAAAACTAATGAAATATTCAACTCTATTTCTCAACAAGACTATTACTCTTTGATAACACTGACAGAAACGTGGCTTGATACTGATATCAATGATTCTGAGGTTTTTCCGGATAATTATTCAGCTTACAGATCTGATCGTAAGTTTTCAGCAGTGAATTTGAGGAAAGGTGGAGGAGTGGCTGTTGCTGTTAAGAGTGAATATAAGTCATCTGCCATCGATATATATGTGTACCCACCTTTCAACCAGGTCAGTCCAAAGATAGATATTTTAGTAATTAAAGTCAGTGTCCATTACTCCAAAATATATGTGATTAATCTGTACATACCTCCTCAGGTAACCGTTACCGACTATGAAATCTTGTTGGAATCGATACATAGTCTAGCGTTTTTGGCAGTATTTTCATTGTTGGGGACTTTAATATAACATCATATGCTGATTATCTTGAAAATAGTATCTCAAATAGTTACATAAACACTTTAAATGTTTTAGCAAGATGTTTCAATGTCATTCAGTATAATTACATACACAATGACAGTGGAAATTTGCTAGATTTAATTTGGAGCAATGCCATTTGCTATGTTGGACATGCTGATGATGCGTTAGTGTGTGAGGATCCCCATCTTCCTGCATTGATTGTCACTGTGAGTCATTTTCCGTCCACCAAACATAATAACGTGTTGCATAGCGACTTTCAAGGTTCCTATAATTTTAGGAAAGCTGATTTTCAGCTGCTCTATGAAATGATTGTGAATATTAGCTGGGGCGATTTGGAAAATTTTAGTGACGTTGATTTAGCTTGTGAATATTTCTATTTTGAGATCTATAGAATTCTTGATTGTTGTGTTCCTAAAGTTAGAATATCTTATAATAATAGGTATCCTCCTTGGTACAACAGCCATATCATTAGAATCCTCAAACAAAAAATGGTGGCATTCGAGACTTTCAGACGCACTGGTGATACTTATTATATAGAAAAATTTATAAGACTTCGCTCAGAGATAAAACAACATGTAGCTGTTTCATATCGTCGCTACATTCACTCTTTAGAGTGTGAAATATCCAAAAGCTCCGGCAAATTCTGGTCTTTTGTTAATAAAAAAGAACCTGCACTGGTATTCCGAAGGATATGCTGTACAATGGGCTGGGATTGAATACGCCTAATGATGTAGGCGCATCTGCGTAACACTTTAGTGGGAGCTATAATACTCCAACAGCTCAATCTAATTTTTCTAGTTTTTCTGCTCACTACCATTTCACTACTACACTAGCTATGCCTAGTGTACAGGAAATCGATGTGCTACAGGCGCTCAAGAAAATTAAGCCAAAAATGACTGCAGGGCCTGATCAAATACCTGCATTTTTTGTGAGAGATTGTGCGTCCATTTTAGCATATCCACTCATGATCATTTTCAATCTCTCTCTGAAAAATAATCACTTTCCATCTATTTGGAAGTTGTCTGGGGTAACTCCTGTTTTTAAAAAAGGTGAGAGGAATTATGTAGAAAACTATCGGGCTATCACAATTATCAGTAATTTCGCTAAAACATTCGAAATAGTGATACAAACTGTGCTATATTTTCATGTAAGCAGGTCTATCTCCGTCAGTCAACACGGTTTCATGAAGGGCAGGTCCACAGTTACTAACTTGCTGCATCTTACTCAATATGTTTGTGAATCAATCGATAGACAACTTCAAACGGATGTAATATATACTGATTTCTCTAAAGCGTTTGATAGTTTAGACCATAACATTCTACTCAATAAGTTATCTAGATTTGGTCTTTCAGATGCATTGTTGCTATTTTTCAGATCTTATTTATGTCATAGGAAACAATATGTTATGTGCAATGGACATAAGTCAAGCGAATACCCTGTAATGTCCGGTGTTCCTCAAGGATCTAATTTGGGACCTCTGTTATTTATTATGTTCATAAATGATATTTCTGAAGTTATCGATGTCGATTTTCTTATATATGCTGACGACATGAAACTTTTCTGTAGAGTCTCTAACATTGACGATTGTCATCGCTTGCAATGCAACATTGTAAGGGTTGACAACTGGTGTCGTGAAAACAGACTTGTTTCGAATGCTGCTAAGTGTCACGTTTTGTCGTTTACTTTAAAAACAGAGGTAATGATGTATGAATACAGTATTGGTGACAGGAAACTTGACAGACCTAGTACAATTAATGAGTCACATTTGGCAGAAAACTTTCCTTCTCCTATCACATTGAAAATGCTGTTATGGCTGCATCAAAGGCGTATGGTTTTATTGTAAGAAATACCGGCGATTTCCACAACTCCTTTACACTGAAAATACTGTACTATGCTTATGTAAGATCTAAGCTTGAGTATGCGTCCCTGGTATGGTATCCTCATCATCAAATATATATTGACCGCTTAGAGTCCGTTCAAAGAAAGTTTTTAAAATACCTCTCACACAAAGCTGACGGGATATATCCCGCTATTGGCTTTCCTCATAGTGAGTTGATGGCGAGGCACAAAATCTATAATTTAGAGAGCAGACGCAAAATGAGTTCACTTAAGTTCATTCACAAGCTCATCCACGGCATTATTGACTCCAGTGTCATCTTAGAACAACTTAACTTCTTAATTCCTAGATTAGCGTCACGAACTAGTTTAACTTTTTACTTAGCCAGGCCTAGGACTGACATACTTAAGTTTTCCCCTATATATATATAATGTGCCGTAATTATAATTCAGTTAATAGTGTTTTAGATATATTTTCGCTTTGTGCGACTTTGGGAGACATTAATGCTTATTTTCGTTAATACTTGCCGGTGTGATTGTTGAGTGCTGGGTAGGTAAAGCTAGAACGCTTTTTTTTTCCTCCCAGTTCTGTTTGGAGGTTTTTTTTGCAGCGTTTTAGCTTTCTCTACATACATCCACAACATGCATTTGTTTATATTTTCATGTTTATCCATCCTGTAATTGGCTATGGCTTTTGGATGTTGCTAAATAAATAAAAATAAATAAATAAATAAAATTTAAATGGTATTCTTGTTAATGTAACATCTGAAACATATCTTGACGTTGTGTCCTTGATCCATGCTCGGACCAGTAATAAAACAGATCTTGAAAAATTGCCTTTAATGTGTCAACGTTTCGACCACGACTTATGGTCTTTGTTAAGGTACATTAATTCAATTTGACCATACTTTTCACGCTGTTGTATAACGTATTTGTATTTCGAAAATATAAATTAATTGTCATCTGGAAGACAGATGAAAAGTATTGCCAAATTGATTAATGTACGTTGACAAAGACCACAGGCCGTGGTCGAAACGTTGGCGCATTAAAATCAATTTTTCAAGATCTGTGGTTTTATTACTGGCCAGAGGAAAGAGGATGGAACGTTTCTTATTTTTGATCTATTCTACTCTAACTCAAGAAGTCAAATTCATAACAAAACAATAATAAATACTGCTATCTCCCAAATACGCCCAAACGTAAGTTAAGAGAAAAGCTTCCAACTCCAGGATAACGGTAATTTTGTTGACGTATTTAGGCGACGATATACCATAACTATCTAAAAGTGTCATGATTCATAGATGTTCACGTGACCATCACTCAACCTCCGGTAATCAGGTTGTCACTGGCGGGGTATGGATTTTTAGTGTGGGTGAACCTGATCTCTTTTATATGTCTAATAAAAAAGGAAATGGTTTGAAAGACGTTATAGATCATTAATTTGGAGATTACAGTTGCCAGTTTTTTTACGATTATCCATGAGCTAATTGAGTCTACCTCTCATTATTCGTCGTCGCTTCTACTTCCCTCCAAAGTAATAAGCTATCGCTATCGCTTTCTTCGCCAAAGTTGACTGTAACTGGCGATGGTGTCGATGTTGTGGTCAAGCTGCCACATTTTTGTTTCTTCCTTCACAACATGACGGACAGCACCCCTTGAAACCAGCTCTCGAAGCAGCTGGGATTTATTTCGTCATGGTAATCACCTCCCTTCTTAAAGACGAAAGTCAAGTTGCATCCTAAAAAGCCACTATCGCTGCCAGTATGTGTAACGATCAATCTTTGACGTTTCCCTGATGGTGTACAAAGACCTGTGACAAACCTTCAATGCTTACTTGTCGGTTACTTAGTACATTTTCGTCTATTCTATTTTAACTGTGTGACCTGCATTTACCCACGTCTCGTCCAAATAATATATTTTTCTGCTATGTCGTCTGTATTCAGTTCTTGCGCTTAGGTACGAGGGATGTCTTTTAAGCTTTGCATATAGAAACGTAGTAGGCCGCGCAGTTCGAACGTCAGTACTGAACCTTAACCTCATTCTTCAGTAAACGTAAATTCATAGTTTCACAACAATAAGTGCAGTGTTCTCACTACAGTGAATTTTTAAGTGTAACCAAGTCATTAGAAAAATGGAACTTAACCGAGAACATTTTCGCGCCATACCTTATTACAACTTTCAGAGACAATTATCGCAACAAGAATGCCTTGCTGAGTTACTGTCTGTCTTCGGCAACGGAGCGCCACATCAGTCGAAAATTTCCCGTTGGTGTAGAGAATTCAAACGTGGACGGGTGAGTCTTAGCGACGATCCCAGTGTGGGTGCACCAAAAACGGCAGTCACCCAGGAAAACGTCGATGCTGTGCGCAAACTCATAATTGAAGATAGACATGTGACATATCGCGAGATTGAGGCGCCCTTGAAGAACTCAAAGACCTCGATTCAAAAAATTTTACATAAGGAATTAGGAGTAAGCAAATTAGTTTCTCGTTGGATACCCCACCTGTTGACTGAAGAGCAGAAAGCAGCCAGGGTTAATTGGTGTCAAAAAACGCTTGATCGTTTCGATTCCCGAAACTCAAAAGATGTGTACAGCATTATTAGTGGTGATGAATCGTAGATTTACTGTTATGAACCAGAAAATAAACGACAGTCGGCTGTTTGGGTGTTCCAAGGTAAAGAAAAGCCAACAAAAGTCATAAAGTCATCCGTTCTCGAAGTGTTTCGAAAAAGATGATCGCGACATTTGTGTCAAAACAACAATTCCTCTTAATGAGCAAAAAACTGTTACTGCCGATTGGTATACCATTATTTGTTTGCCAAAAATTATTACCGAGCTTCGAAAAATCAACCCCGAAAGAAGAATCATCCTCCACCAAGACAATGCAAGCTCGCACACAGCCCAAAATACAAGGCAGTATTTACCGGGAGACAACGTGGAATTATCGGATCATCCTCCATATAGTCCCGATCTAAGTCCTAACGATGTCTTTACTTTCCCGAAAATTAAAAACAGACTGCGTGGTCAAAGGTTCCAGTCACCAGAAGAAGCAGTTGACGCATTCAAAAATGCCCTTTTGGATCTGCCTCCAAACGAGTGGAATAAGTGCTTCGAAAATTGGTTCGAGAGCATGCAGATATGTGGAGAATACTTCGAAAAACAATAAAGTTATTTAAAACTACCTACCGTGTTGTTTTATTTCCATATGCAAAACTTAAAAGACCTCCTATTTTTGACGCCACGCGACTGTTTCAGGTTTTTCTATCAATCTTGACTTCCGATTACGCGTTTCGTAACGAAAATTAGGTTCGTGCCGGGTTTTCCTTAATACTTCGACTCTAACTGGGGGTATAACGTCATTATTCTATCTTTGCGTGTATAGCTTTAAGGGTTGGTATGTCATTCCTACGGAATGCCACTTAGCTGTCGCAATTTAGTTTAAAGGCCCTTCGTCCCTTCAAATGGAACTTTGGATCGACAGTAGTTCTACTGTTCCTCTGTTAATGCACCACCTTGCGAACAGTCCGCTCTGGGACGCCTGTCATGCTTTCGCAACGCGTAAGTGCATCTCCCTGCGACATAGTCTTGTTCAACTAATAGAACACGTTGAGCACGACTTCTTTCGCGTCCTTTTTCAATGCCTTAAGAATCTACTTGTTTCCTGGCTTCCAGTACTTCCAGTCCACGCTAATGTGTCGGGCCTTGCAGCTTGGAAGCGTTGAGGCGTCATCTTATGTCATCTTATCTCAGGACCGGAATCAGTTTTCATTCTTCCTTTCAGTTTAATTGTGGTAATATTCATGCGCGTTCCTTACTCTTAGGATGTTTGATGATTTTGACTGGCTTTAATGTTTTATTACAAGTATCGTCAGTGCCAAAACTACAATACGTTATGATTTTTAAAGCCACAAAAGCATCTTGATTGCAAAAAGTCGTAGAATATAAAATATTTATGCAAATGAGATATTTCCCAGAAATGCAAGCATCTTACTTACTACAGTATATTCAGATAAGAGATAGACCGGACATAAACAAGACCACGTGATCATCGAACGCTCTAACATTCGGCAGGGACGTATTAAGAGTCACGCAGTACATATTTTAGATAGCAGATGCTGCTTTGCGTAACTTTGTAGTAAATTAGCACAATTCGATGTGTATACGATTGGTGATGGATATAGGATCATGTGGGGGTGGGGTAAGAAATATGATGTAAATATACATAAAGGGTTTCAAAATTTTCGCTTCGATTTCCAGCTTCGGATGCCGCCTGATGTTTGGTGAAATACAGTCGAATATAATCTCAAAATGGCGTTTAAATTAGCCTAAATTAAAAATAATCGCATATCTCTTAAAATTGCTTTTAGAATATTGATTAGTATATTTTTTGATTTCTAGGTAAATATGTAACCAAATTAAAACGTTCAAAACGTAAAAAAATGTGCATGGTTGAACATTGTCAGAAAGTAGATTCTTGAATAGGTTTTGCCAAAATGGGTCTAAAAATGTCAATAATTAATTAAAAAATACAGTAGCTTTATAATTACTTATAACTTACCGAATTTGATGAACATCTTTTATTGGAAAGATGAGCTTGATGAGCTTTCATCATCGCTACTGCCTGAAGCACCAACGTCAATAATGAATGGCTCGACTTGTTCCTCTAAAATATTGTCCAGTTTCCACATTCTCTTTTCAACTTTGTCTTTCACAAGCTTAATACAGTTTTCCCATTTTTGCGCTGTTATTAATTCTAGTGCTTCTTTGAAAATTCCTTTGAGGACACAAAATTTAAAAGTTGTATTGTGCTTAGCTATATAATTTTTAACCTCTGCCCATATGAGCTCAATGGGATTGAGCTCGCAATGGTATGGAGGTAAACGGAGCACAGCTTTATTTTGACTTGCTGCCATTTCGTCAATGGCGTATTTTTGATATTCCGCCTTGTGATCCTTGACAATTCTTAATAATTGTACTTTCAGCATTGCTTCTTCAAAGTTGATATTTTTCGAGCGGAGCCAATTTTGAACATCAACTTTCCTTGAAGCCGTTGTTGGGACCTTTTCCATTCTTCGAGAATGATAAGGCGCATTATCCAACACAATTACTGCGTTTTCCTCTGAGTTCGGTAAAATTTTTGAAAACCACTGTTCAAACGATTCGCCATTCATTTCCTCGTGGTAATCTCCAGTTTTCTTAGACTCAAAGCACCACAGACCGTCAACAACAAATCCATCCTCACTGCCAATATGGCAGATAATGAGCCTTTTCCCTTTACCTGGAAATCGAAATACTAACTGGTGTAGATTTATTTCAATAAGCGAACCTTTTTCAAATGTTTTCATCACATTCAGCGAAAAAACATTGAGACATGAGTATCAGATTGCTATAATTGGGATTATTTAGTCATATTGAAAGAAAAAATATTGAACGTCGTATGATTACTCAGCGCTTCACAATTTAATTTAAAGTTATACATATAAACCTTTAAAAAATGAATGATCAGGAACCTGGAATACGCGCAAATATTAATATTAACAAATTATAACTTTATAAAGCTTAAAGTATGAATTAAAATGATTAGAAATATTAGGAACGGTACACAATATAAAACTTAGTAACTTTTTTAAGTTTATAATATTCGACATATTTTAAGATTATAATAAAAAATTATTGAAATATCGAAAATACATAAAAACATGGCTTAAAAAAGTTCTAACAAATGAAAATGACAATAAAACATCCACGCATTTTATCGAAAGTTATAAAAGTTTTGTTACTTGTAATATGTTTTATCTGCCCCCTGGAATTAATGTTTAGAACCTTGTTCCCAAGGTTTGAAAAACATCCGACTGTTGTCTATTACTCGTATTTACCTGCTGGATTTTTTAATCCGGTGGACAGTCCATCTAGAAAGGCCCTCCTGGATGAAGTTACAGAATCATCAACCCATACTTTACTTGTAGTGTGTCCTGCGTTTAGCCACGTTTCATCAAGGTAATAAATCTTCCTGTTTTGATTTCTATATTTCCCAATTTTTGTTAAATAATCCCTCCTCCATAGCACAATTTCTTCTCTATCCAGTAGTAAACTATTATGACCCCGTTTTTTCCATTTGAAATTTAAATGCTTCAGTAACGCATGGAAAGTTGATCGTTTGAAATTTGGCAACGTTGTATCTCCATTTAACTCCTGCAGTACTTTATCTATAGTAGGTATTTCATTCCTAAAGAAGAATTCATGTACTTTCCTCCTAATCGCATGCTTATCAGTTTCATCCAATGATTTAATAATACTTTTGCGATGTTTACTGGTCATTGGCTCAGAAAAGGTGTGATTTTCTTTGTATTGTCTTAACACATTAAACACTGATGCGCGACACACCCCAACTTTGTGAGAAACCTTCACAACAATTTCTTTGATGGTTGATGCCTCGTTCTCCTCGCGCTCGATCTTATATATATTCGAAATGATCTCTTTCATTTCTGCACTCAGGTGTCTTTTTTTAGAGCGTTTCCTAGGTGGACTACAGGAGTTTACAACTTCATCGGCAGTATCTGTACTACTGGGCATTTTGCGCAAGCAGTTGATAACAATATCAATCAATAACAAGGTATAACAATAACAACGACAAACTCAACAACTTAATAAGATAACAAACGAAAACGTCCAAAGAAATATCAAATTGCAATGATGCACACGACATACGTAACACGTCTGAACCGGAATGTTACTCTGCCTTGATACGACTGCTCTGCCGCTCGGCATAGGCATTTAATTGCGAATTGACCAATGAGGGCTCCTGTTTTACGTCGAGATGGCGGCGTTAGCGTGAAAATCACCCGAACCTTTTGTTTACATCCGGTCTATCTCTTATCTGAATATACTGTAGACTAAACCCACGACTTCGCCCGCATGATAGTCAATAGCAAACAGGATGCCGTGCGGCATCAGCTATTCGTTTATTGTTCAACATCTGAATCGTAGCGCAAAATCCACATTGAGTTAGCAAATAAAGCCGACTATAATGTTCTCGGGATAATAAGTACAACTTGGCGAATTTTCAAGGGAGTTTGTGCCTCATGGCGATCGGACAAACTTACTTGAAGGAAAAAAATAAAATTATCCGAGCTGGGTGGAATGAAAGCCCAAAGCTCAACCGCTTGAGCAAACTAAGCCATATGACATCGGTTCCGAAACAGGCAAGGATTTAATAAAACATCCAGGGGATTGAAAATAACTATTTTCTTATGAAAAGCGTTATTGTGGCTTGTTTATTAAGAGATGGCTATATGATTCCGTGGATTTTTTAGACCCCTATTTCCATAGCAGCAGCATTTATGTATGATCCACCATTTAGACAGCGTACGCAGTTAAAGTAGCACGATCGTGATTTTTGGATATTTTATTTATTCGAGCAGATCGCTGTATGGAAACTTTCTCCTTGAAACGAGCGCAAAGATCCATAGGCCGTTTTACTCAAGATTATTACAACAAATGAATGAGATCTTGTGGACACAATACAAAAATTGAAATTGTAATAAACAGATGAATCAATACGGTAGGCCCATATTTTCCCAATCATTGTTTAATAACATACTTGTATTTTAATATCTCAAAGTTTATCAAAATGATTGAGGGACATATTGTTACCCGCATATAATACTAATAATAATAATAATAAACGTCTTTATTTCCAAATGGACTGATTATATAAAAAAATAGCCAAATACGGGCGAAGTTCAGCTGTAGCTGCTCTTCCACTTAACCCGCTATAAAAAAAGTCCGTACAAAAGGTGAGTGAGACCTACTTATTCTACACATTACAAATATTAAATGTATATGCATTGCTTACATTAATACATCTACTAAAATTAATCATAAACTTGTATCAATATTTTCCTGAAACATGGTTACTACTGCTGGGATAAGAGACATTTTTTTAATTGAGTTTTGAAACTTGAGATGCTCAGAGTTTTATATTGTACCGGAAGGGTGTTATAAATGGAACAAATTTGGTAGCTGAACGATCGTTCAAATTGGGCTGTTCGGAATATCGGCGGTGTCAGCAACCCCCTGGATCTTATATTGATGTTATGCACATCTGTTCGAAATGTAACTTTTTCAAATAAGTAAGTGGGGGTCTTACACATAATTATTTTATGATA